AACGGTGAATTTGTGTACACGGTCATTACTAGTAGTTTGAATGAACTCTGTTTAGTCCATAGTACTTGCTGTTAGTCGATTCTAAACATACCATTTTTATCTACGCGATAAACGACGAGAAGGATAAAATAATGTTGTTTCATAAAATGTTTAACCATCCTATTAAAGTGGATTGCTTTCAAGATACTTTTTATATTTAAATTCCAGACGTTATTCAATCAATAGTCTCATAAGAGATGATCATTCATCCAATGAAAATGGTATAGTAGATGCAGAAAATCGATCGAACGATTCGAAGGCAAAAGATCGGTTCGTAAAACTATCTAAGCAAAGTGTTCAGTCGGATTCAGATAAATTGTCAATTAGGTCAAGTGAAAGTAAGACCAACGTGAGTGTTATTAATAATACTATTGACGGGACGAGCATTCAGAGCGGAATGGATATTGAGAAAAAGGATCTTGATGTAACATCAGACCATCATACAAACGCTAATCTAGTACTGGATCAAAATGACAAAATAAATGAGGCCAAACTGGCATCAAGAAAAAGTAGTGTGCACAGTCAAATGTCGAACATACCCGATAATTTTATGCAAGATGTGATCAGTACTACAGTCCCGAACATCAGTTTAGCGCCGCTGGATACTGATGCATTTAATTCTAAACTCTGCCTTGAACGAAAAAATGCAATAGATGATGTCTCACTGCGGGAAACAATAGACTTATGGAAACCATCGTCGATTCAACAGCTGAGCGAGCTTATTAAGAAGCTATCAGCAAACAAGACACAGGTAGACAAGGCATGGATAATTTTTTATTGGATCTCTCAGAATATTAGTTATGACGATAAATCGTATTTTAGTGGAAACATTCCTACTCAACGAGTCGATGATGTTTTTAGTAGTAAAAAAGCTGTTTGCGAAGGATATGCGAGTTTATTCAAACGGTTATGTGATGAGACTGGGCTTGTGTGTGAAAAAGTGAGCGGGTATGCCAAAGGGCATTCGTTCGATGCACGAAAACTTGCATTTGACGAAAAAAATCATGCATGAAATGTGGTTGAAATAGACAATCATTATTATTTTATAGAGTCGACGTGGGGAACTGGACATCTGGCAGAAAATAAAAGGTTTACACGAGAACTCAAAACTCATTATTTTCTTTCTCAGCCAGAGCACATGATCTACAATCACTTCCCGAATGAGGAGAAATGGCAGCTGTTAGCTGGACCAATAACAATGCAAGAATATTTGAGTATGCCAGAAACACATGCGGCATTTTTCGAGTTTAACTTACAAGTGATTTCACCGCAAAATTCACACGCCATCTCTCTCCAAAAAGACAAATATTACGGCGAGATACTGGTCCGTTGTCCAGATGATACTGAGTTAAGTGGCTCATTAAAGGAGTCGACAGATGAACAAACGGTGAAAGGAGCCGATAAAGTGTATTTTGATCGTCAGAAGTCATTGTGGAGGTGCCAGTTTGCTCCAAGGAAAAATGGAATGCACGATATCACAATCTATGCAAAGAAGAAATCCAGTGAAGGCACTTTTGCTGGAGCTGTCTTATTCATCTTTGATGTTAAAGATCTGAAAACATTCATTTCCTTCCCACGCACATGGTTCCATTTCTACGAGTATGATTTAGAAGTTGTTGCTCCGCTTCATAGTGGATCGGTTGTATGGCCTGTTGGCGCTTCTTACTGTGAAATTCTTATTCGATGTCCAGATGATGTGCAGCTGTCGGGGCACATAGGAAAAGGTCAACGAATTCAACAAGGCGAGCTCATTCAATACAATGCGGAAAAAGAGTTGTGGCAATGTTTATTCGCACCGAAAAGTAACGGTTTACACGAGATCACCATATTCGCGAAAAAACTAGATGGAAAAGAAAATAAATCACATTGTGTAGTCCAGTTCGACTTAGATGTGAAAGATCTAAAGCAAACTATGACCTTTCCTTTGACTTATGAACCATTTCAAGAGCGAAAATGTCATCTCTATGAACCGTTAAATGGTATATTGAAAAAAGGTGCAGCAGCGACGATTCACTGTCGTCTTCCGGGAGCAACAGAAGTGAATATGACCGTTGATTCGAAATGGTTAACAGCTCAGGGCTATGAGAATAATGTGTTGAAACGTACAATTAAAGTCGGATCTCAAGATATGTCCCTTTGGGCGAAATACGATAAAAATTCGAGTTATTCCAGTGTTTTAACATACACTGTCAAGTAAAATAGGAAGTTTGTGATATAGTAATCGTAACATAAATATCGTATCAATCTACTGTGAAAAACTGAGAGAGTGAAGGATGTTAATTTGAATACTTTATCAAAAAAGAAAAACTTTTTATTATCTTTAATTTTTCAAATTACTCTTAGTAAAGGAATAGGTCCGGTCATTCAAAGAAAACTCGATCGAAGTGGCAATTAATCGTCTGAAGATCACTGGGAAGAAAAGGCTTTGATAACCACGTTGGTGTAGTTATCGCCGGATTCAACTACTTTGTCTTCGATTCACAAACTGGTTCAATCGGAGGCTACCCACGAAAAAAGTTTATAAAAAACAATGGTTAAGAACGTGTTCCGAAAAAACGAAACGCGATTTATCGACTAAGAACATGTTCTGAGAAAAAAAGAATGCCTTCGAACGCGTTTCTACCCAAGACAAACGAGTTGCCACTGAATGCGTTCCTAATCGATAAGAACCCGTTCTTGGGAAACGCGTTCGAATGTGTTGAATAGCGATCGCGTTCTGTGACTGTGAGCACGTGTTTGAACAGTTAAACAAGGACGCGTTCTTACAGTCGTAGAGCGCATTCGAGCGTTTACAGCGAACGCATTCCTGATTTAGAAGAGAAACGGGTTCTCAGAAAAAAAGAACGCGTTTTGAATTGTTCCAAGCCAAAAGAACAGAATGCGGTTATTTAGATCTCAAGTTGGCATATGAACGTCGGGGCTGATGTACCTCTAACGGCTTTCCAGGAACTGAGAAATAGGAATTCCAATACCGATACAGCCCAGAAAAACATACAGGTTCATACACTCATCAAGGATACGATATCTTCGCAGAATTTTCTTAGTGATCTACACAACTCAATTGCAAACAGTCCACTCATTAGTGAATTATGTCGTCAAATTACGTCATCACCAATATTTGTTCAATTAATCTCAACTCTGGTCTCATCAAAAATAACACACTGTGAAAAACAAATCGAAAAATTGCAATTAACCGTCGATGAACTCGATAACACCGCAACAGAACTTTATGAGTATGTTGATCAATTAGAAATGAGATACAATGAATTAGAACAATATAATAAACGAAAAAACTTGATTATCCATGGGATTCCTGAAACATTAAATGAACATACTGATAAAATTGCTATGGATATTGCTAAATGGATCGGTCATTCATTGGATGAAAAATCAATTTATGCGTCGCATCGACTACCAACTAGCAATAAAAATATTCCTAGACCAATTGTAGTTGGTTTTTTACGTTATTCTGATCGACAAGCAATCATTAAAAATCGACAGAAATTACGTACACATCAACGTTATAAAAATGTATTTATCAATGAGCACTTATCGTCATTTAATAATCAGTTATTTCAGTATGCACGACAAAATCTAAATAAGCGTGGTATTCAAACAAGAAACGGCAATATCTTCTACATTGACTCGAACAATGAAAAGCACAGAATTCAATCGTTCTCAGATATTGATAAATTGACTCGCACACAGCACACAGGTTAGTATGATACTGTCACTCATTGCTCCGTCCCCTTCGTTGTTCCCTACTGCTATGCATAGTTCTCGAAAAAACCTACAGTATGGTTCAG